TTTGATTTTTCAAATTCATCTCAAGGTAATTTTACTATTTGCGCAGATGAAAATCCGAGTACTGATGAAAAGCTGCCTTCTATTGAAATAATCTCGCTGTTCTGCCTACTGAGGCGCATCAAGTATGCTGAGCTATTATTAACAGCTGAGATCTTGCTCTTGATAAACACACAAAAGTTGAAAATATCTTCTAGATCCATCGCCCAAAATATGGTTTGAGCTTTCAACCTTCAACCATACAGCCTCCCCTGTCGAGCTATCAAGTCTACATTACAGAGATTGCTGATGTTTCACATATACGTGTCCACAGGGTTTAGTAGTACCGCGGTATATAAAATACAGAAGATTGCAATTCTCAAACATTGAGAATCTAGTCGACTGCGCTACCTATGAAGCTTGGTCCTCACTACCACGCAAGCATAAACATAAGAGCGACGATGAAACGCTTTGATTTCTTATGTATTGTCCTCACTACCACGCAACATAACCATTGCCGCTTATGCGTGCGTTGTAGTGAGAACAAGGCTTGAGCTTGATAGTCTACCGCTCTACCTGTTGAGCTGATTTGTGAGCGAGTTAAAAGCAAAATTAGACTTACCAATGTCGAGGGATGGTGACACTGACAGATTATTACATTTTGAAGATTCTGTAACAAATTGATGTAGACTGCGTCAACTGTATTTTGCGTTTGAGAACTTTTAGACAACACCTTAATTTGTCGCAATAATATGTATTGTGTTCAAAACATGTCGTGATTTGAACGTCAGCCTCTCAACGTCCTTATAAGGAGATCGCCCACGCTGAGAGATTTGCATTTGTTTGGAATTCTAAGTATCATTTGGTGATTTGGTTTCATGTAATTCAAGAGAACTGACTTAACCTGTTTCTAAAGACTGAAGAACTTAAGTTTTTGTTCATTTATTACAGACCTTCATGTAATAAAAGATAGGTATAAAGAACTAAGAAAATTCAGAAATATTGAACATTCAAATTTTCCCAGTTCTCATTTTGATATCAATGAGCAACAGAATATCTCACTATCCATCTATTGCTTTGAGATCAGTGAGCAACAGAAAATAGCTTGCAATCCACTCCACGAAGAAAACTATTGTGAAAGAAACTACCCAGGAACAAAGTACCTCGGTCAACAGTACCCCGGAACAAAATACCTCAGGGGAAAGTAACCCTGAAGAATCTGCTATGGAGCAAAATAGCTCACTGGAGAAAAATACCTCTGAACAAAGTGCCAGGGAACAAATGTCCTCGAAACAAAGTATCCCGGAGAAAAGAACCCCTGGAAATCATCCCGTACTGTTGACAAGTCCACTAGTTTATACGCCTCAGCATGTACTCTGGAAACTACCAAACCTGCTCTGGAAGCCAGGAAATCTAGTTAATTCTAGCAGTCTAGAAAAAAGTAAAACTGGATATGCAGGTCTGGAAACTGGTAAAACTGATTCTACCACTCCAGAAATGATCGCCAGTACTAGTAGTGCGGGCTCATCGGGAATTCAGCAGAGACTGTCAGCCGAAGAACAGGCGCAAGATCCTCTGGGAAAGGCAAAAAAAAAAAGAGAGCAAGACAATGATGGATAAGACGGGTGATGATAGAGAACTTAGGGATAGATTACCTCAGAGAGTCTGGCATGGAACTTCATATAAAGTTGAGGTATGTTGAGATAATTGCTTGAGATAATGAGTTATATTGTTATTCTAATGAGTTTCACAGCCATCTTCCCTTCGATAGGATATGCTCAGACATGATTGCGTTTCTCAATTCTATTATTTGCCATCAAATACTTGAGTATTATACAAGATTATTTTCTCACTCTGATAACTGCGGGTGGACCAGCATCTGCTTCAGTGTTTAGTATCATAGTATGAAACCTTCCAGTACATAAATGCATGCAGTTTACATTTAAAATCGTGAAAAAATGTTCCGTTAATAATACTCAATTTTTTCAATAGGAAGTGGGAGGCATTGATTTTAAACCAGAGCTATCAAGACGAGTCAGTCACGCTGGAAGTCTGGGGAGAGTTTCTCCTAACCCAAATACCCGACTCCGCTCTAGAAATGGCAGTAAATCTTCCACTAGTGACGCTATCTCAACTACTGACGTCGTCCCAAGTGATGACGTCACATCAACATCTGACGTCATCAATAATGAGGTCATATCTAATAGTGACGTCATTTCAGCGAATGACGTCATCTCAGGACAACCACGCGAGTCAGAAGCATCTGAAACGGCAATATTGTGACGTATTATTAGTAAGCTGTATATATCTGTATTATGTATCCTTAGTCATACTTCATCAATAAAGATAAATTCATGAAATAATGATGTCTCTGTTTAGCCTCCATAAATACCAGAATTAAAAAGCGCAGATCATAATTTCACAAAGTACACAAAATTTGGAGGTCGTATTTTAAAACGGGTATCACAAAATAAATCGTTCGCCATGAAGAGAAAAATTAGTCTGACTTTATTTACAATATAGTTTACATGTCATAGTAATTCAAATTAATTCAATGTTTCACTAATTACTAATGTTTCTGTCCAGATCAAATGTTTCTTTCAACACAAGATATGTTAAATGTAGAATATTTACACAATTATTCATTAATCATTATACAGGATTATATCTAAAATAAAATTATTAATATTCATTTAAACATAAGTATGATATTTTAAACAGACATTAAACTGTCATATGGCATGCAAGACAATTTTGCTATCTTCCTCAAGTTATCAACGAATAATCCGTTAATTATGGATATGAACTTGCCATATCATACATATATTTGAACAAAGATTTTTCGCAGCAATGTAGCATAGGTAAACTCTGGTTTAAAATACTAAATCTACGAGCATTCGACTGCTAGTCTGCAGTCTTCAATGGGCAGGTTTCGCTACAGACTGGCACTCAAAAGCTCGTAGATTGGACAAATATTTAAACTCGATATGAATAATCCTGCTTTGGCTTCAAACATCTTAAACATACCATAATCCTTTGCACGGTGTGGTATGTTTGTTTTATTTAGTGTTAACATCCTCGTGGTTTGCGCACAATAGGGATAGTGTTTTGATTGGCGTCGCGAGCATAAGCATGAGGATATATCACCAATGATGTTAACCAAAGTACAGGTCATTGGTTATAATATCATGTCGTCTAGATACTAAATATGCAAATGAAAGGGAATAAATAACATTGACGGAGACTTGACCATAAAATAACCATAACTGACGTCGTAGGACGAACATTTTCGTGTTTTCAAGATGAAATTACAATGTAGCTCTATATCAATTAGCGCCTGCAAAACTCGTACATTTTAGTCATACAACACAAACGTTGTAACGATTTTGGTGTTTTTCATCGGGGTTTTTTTTTGCAAGGAAAAGCATTGCTTCAGCAACAGATTTAACACTTTCATACGAAACAAATATGACGCTCAGTAAAAATTATTCGGTTTCTTGACCTCATCCCGGTAAGCGGGCTGGCGTGTCATATGGAACATTTTTTCATCCCGCCTACCTATGGTCTCGGCTTCTCCTATGCCGCCATGTAAATTTTTATAATAAAATTACTCGGAGGGGAGATGATAGCAGGCGCGAGACGTCTTGTGGGGTCATGTAAACAGATCGTTTAAATTAATGTTATCAGGGTGTTTTGTAGTTACGTTCACTTTTCAGTTAATGTTATTTTACTTTTACTGTTCCTTTTGACTATCAGACTTCCTTCATGTTTATCCGCACGGGGCAAAGTGTTATTTATGCAAGAGGCGAATAAATAGTTTATAGAAAACCTTTCAGTTGCCAGGTGTCACTACAGCATTTGCCCAAACCTTTTTTTCTCTCATTCCTGGCAGTTCTTTCCACTGATCATCTCCCATTGTGAAACTTTCTACTGAGTTGAGAAATCCCTCTTCCTTATTCCATCCTCCCAATACAACAATGATGTCATGCATGATTACAGCAGAGGGAGCACGCCTCTTGTGTTTCAGTGAAGGTAATCTTTCACTTCGCCCAGTTTCAATGTGATACATGATGACGTCATTTAAAACCTGATCATTCTTATCCAGCCCGCCGACAACAATGATTATATTGCCCCAAGTAACTGTGGACATTGCTGAGACAGGCTCGAGTAACGATGCACATGGCTTAATCTCGTTCTTGATGAAATCATACACAACAACACTATATGTGGTATCTTTACTCGTTACTGTTGTCGATCCTCCCAAGATAAATAGCTTCTCGTTAACAATCTCCGCTCTGTGGTTTGCCCTTGGCTGAGGCATTCGTGCGAGAAGCTTGACAGTATAAGGCGGTGCAAGGGATAGTTCATAAATTGCATCGGATGTTTTCATTTCATTCCAGCTATATCCTCCTATGATATATAATTTATCTTGGTAAACTGTGACGTCATGAGCAGCTAACTTGGCGGGCAGTTTACCATTAAACATCGTCCATCGCAAAGGATGCTGGTTCATCTTTAAAATCTCGATCAAGTCAGTACCAGCTTGACCATCGTATCCTCCAGTCACGATGACGTCACCGTTGTGAACACATGATGCTGAATCTATTCGAGCGAGATTTATCGGTGGCAGCTCAGTCGACCTTCCTTCTGCTATGTTGTATTTTTCAACTGTATTTAATATGTTGTCATTTCCTTCGCCACACCGACCGCCAAGAATAATAATATCTTGGTTGTTGGCAGGAGCTGCTGGATCTATAGCTTGAGAACCATTGTTGTTTACATTTTTTCCTTGCAACAACTGATTTAACATCTCTGTCATCCTTTGAAACTGCTGGCTTACCTCAGCTTTAAACATCACTTGATCTGCTTTCATTTCTGCTTGAGTTTGCTTTATCTCGTCAACATTCTCCTGGATTATAAAATTAAAAATTTCTGTGACTCTGTTGTTATATTAAAATATATCAGCGACGACATAGTGTACATTTTGAGAAGCTATTCACCATAATTAGTTTATTTAATTGGCGAAGTGTTCAATATGTTGGCCTGGATTAAAAGTTTATATTAAACAATATTTATATCAATAAACATCCGGAAAAGATTTTAATTTGCAAATTAAAAAGTGGCATTTTTATTGCAAAGGAACTTACAGAAAATTAAACACAATCTTGCCTTACCTTCATTTGATTTACTTTGTCATTGATTTCATCCTGCTTTCTTTCCATTTCCACTTTTGTTTTGCTCAATTCTACCTTTATCTCGTCGACATGTTCCTGAATTGTAAAATATAAACGTCACTGACTAGGCTGCGGGTAGTCTTGGAGATGCCACTATTCACAAACTGCAGATTTTCACAAACTTTTCAAAATTGCAAACATACAAAGAACAAAAACTTGTCTAACCTTAATTTCATCTTGTTTTCTTTCCATTCCAACTTGACTAGCTATCATTTCATTTTGTCTTACTTTCATCTCGTCAACATTTTCCTGAATTATACTTGTTATTATTAATAATTATTATAATCAAAACTATTGATTATACGGTATCACATAATTACACCGAGTGATATATTTTGTAAGGTGGTCAACCTCTGATCATTCATCTCTAAGAAAATGTTTTTCCTTCGCAAAAATTACCGAAACCGATGTATAGTGTGATTTGGTAGCGAGTTAAAACGTACGGTCCACTATACGTTGTTTCTCATTTAGTCTTCTCAGTTCTAATTCTTGGAAGATGTGTGTCAGTTGTAGTTGCAATAGACCCATTGCACATGACGTCACAGCACCGGTGACGATGCATCTAAAGGATAAATTAGCAATCTACGGATGGTATAACTTTTGTAAACAAAGAAAATTTTGTACCCGAGCAGATATTGTTAGGCAGCATCTGGAGGACACTCTAAGGATTTGTGACGTCAGTGCAATGGGTCTATTCTCTAAATAGTTCTCACTTCATTTCTCTTAGCAAACATATTTTTTGAATTGAATTGAATTTATTAAAAACTTGAATGGCAGTTTACAAAGAAACTGAAAAACTCAAGTAACAAATATTAAAATAAAATAGTTAGATTAGAATATATAAAAATATATGTACAATACAAATTTATGCATTATTGTGTTAAGTTATTAAATTGGAATAGTTCAAGGCAAGTCCCATTTCCGTACGCAGGTTGGTAAAAAACTGTCATAAAATCTACTTGTACGTGTTTTAAAAAGTGGAATGTTTCTAGCATTTCTAAGGTTATATGAATAAGATTTCTTTCTAGGTAAAAGGTCAGAAGTTTTACTTGTAGTGCCAAAACTGTTCTCGTAAAACCGTTCACACAAGGAAACCCTCCGATCAACAAGAGTGGGCAGATTGAGTTCGTTCAAACCGTCTTTATACGATAAATCAGGATAGATAATTTTCAGAGCCCGGCGTTGAATTTGTTCAATTTGGTCGCACAAAAATACAGGCAATGAAAAATGCCACACGGGGCAGGCATACTCTAGATATCACATATTTCTGGAGCTGCCATATTTTTCAGAGCTCGAAATTTTTTTTACTTACTTTAATATCTCTGCAGTCGTGGCACTTGGGGATTCTAAACTGGCAGAGTTCTCTCTCATGCATTTCTTTATCTTTTTTATTGACCACCGTCCCACATTCTTCATTTCCACACATAACAGGCGCAAAGCCACATCGCTCAACATGATTCTGTAAATTTCCAAGCTGGACGTAGCCTGGGCAGCCTCGCTCAGTGTACTCACACTTGATTTTCAGCTCTGATAGAATATTCTTCAAGAATCTCGGATTTTTTAAGGTTTCTGGGGCCAGATCCTCTCTGCATTCAGGACATGTGTGGGAATTACGAAGATGTTGAGTTATGCAAGAAAGACAAAATGGATGTTCTCTGTTCTGGCAAGTTCGTGGGTCTCTGAGCACCTCGTGACAAATAGAGCAGAACAGATCTTCTCTTACTTGACCTTCAAAACGTCTTTCATCATAACCTTGCTGGTAGCTGTGTGCCATTATTGAACGCCTGGGAATACGAAACAACTGTTGTTAAATTATGGATGTGGCCAGCTATGATTCCTGCACTAGACACATTTCTGATTGTTTTATACAACAGTAAAGCTGAAAGTTAAATCCAGATAAGCCAATCACATAGTGTTGATTGCTACCTACACTGGACTAGAACTCTATGTGCAATATGGCTAAAGTACTTGAAACCTTTTTTCCGGAAATATACATCATTAATTTCCAGTAATTTAAGAAATTTTTTGAATTATTCGTTTCACTAAACAGACTTCATCATGTGCATTCACATTTTGTAACTTTATTTGTTTTTGTTTTTTTATTTAAACTAGACCAGTGACAGTTTTCAAAATAGAAGAAAGCTTCGGATTGATAGGGATACGTTTCGAACGTTTAATAATATTATATTTATTTATTTTTTAAAATTATTTTCAATAATTAAAAAAAATAAATTTTCTTGTCCGCGTCCGCCGGTCCGGGTCCGCCATTCCGTGCCCGCCTTTTATCTACGCCCCTTCCGTCGCGAAGTTAGTAGTCGAGTGGCCACTAACTTCCAGTCGAAACGTTGAAGTTTTCCTTGTATTTTCCAGCCTACCCTGGCAGAGATCTTTCAAATAGATCTTTCAAACTACTTATTGTACTGCTTTAATGCAATAATTGCGCAAAATGATTTATTAAGCAATAGAGCTCGCATAGCGTGTAGATTTACAATAGCAATAAATATGATAATAATTTATGTGTTTTTGCGAACACAGTACATACTCGTACGGTTATACGGTTCTTTTGATTTTTCAAATTCATCTCAAGGTAATTTTACTATTTACGTAGATGAAAATTCGAGTACAGATGAAAAGCTGCCTTCTGTTGAAATAATCTCGCTGTTCTGCCTACTGAGGCGCGTCAAGTATGCTGAGCAATTAACAGCTGAGATCGTGCTCATTATAAACACACAAAAGTTGAAAATATCCTCTAGTAGTCTAGATTCATCGCCCAAAATGTGGTTTGAGCTTTCAACCTTCAACCATACAGTCTCCCCTCAAGTCTACACTACAGAGATTGCTGGTGAATTCTTGTGTTCTATCTGTCTCACTATCGTGTCCGCGGTATAAATACGCAAGATTGGAATTCTCAAACATTGAGAATGTAGTCGACTGCTCTACCTATGAAGCCTGGTCCTCACTACCACGCAAGCACAAACATAACAGATGCACTGTCCTCACTAGCACGCAACATAAATAGTCTATGGTTGTGGTCAAGACAAGACTTGAGCTATCAAGACGTCCACCTGCTCTACCTGTTGAGCTGATTTGTGAGCGAGTTAAATGCAAAATTAGACTTACCAATACAATGTCGGGGGATGGTGACAGATTATTACATTTTGAAGATTCTGTAACAAATTGATCTGTAACAAATTGATGTAGACTGCGTCAACTGTATTTTGTGTTCGCGACAACACCTTAATTTTGTCGTAATATGTATTGTGTTCAAAACATCTCGTGATTTGAACGTCAGCCTCTCAACGTCCTTATAAGGAAATCGCCCACGCTGAGAGATTTGCATTTGTTTGGAATTCTAAGTATCATTTGGTGATTTTTCAGAACCACTGAGTATTTTAATAAAATACAAAACAAGTGAAACTTCAAAAATCGATAACATTTTTATTTATCTACGCTTTTGATATATAACCTAGCTAGTTTATCCTGATGATGACTGGAATATAGTCGAAACGTAGATAAATAAAAATGTTATCGATTTTTGGAGTTTCACTTGTTTTGTATTTGGACTATTTGGTGATTTGGTTTCATGTAATTCAATTGAACTTAACGAACCTGTTTCTAAAGATTGAAGAACTTAAATTTTCCCAGTTCTCATTTTGATATCAATGAGCAACAGAATATCTCACTATCCATCTATTGCTTTGAGATCAGTGAGGAACAGAAAATAGCTTGCAATCCACTCTACGAAGAAAACTATTGTGAAAGAAACTACCCAGGAACAAAGTACCTCGGCCAACAGTACCCCGGAACAAAATACCTCAGGGAAAAGTACCCCTGAAGAATCTGCTATGGAGCAAAATAGCTCACTGGAGAAAAACACCTCTGAATAAAGTACCAGGGAACAAATGTCCTCGAAACAAAGTATCCCGGAGAAAAGAACCCCTGGAAATCATCCCGTACTGTTGACAGGTCCACTAGTTTATACGCCTCAGCATGTACTCTGGAAACTACCAAACCTGCTCTGGAAGCCAGTAAATCTAGTTAATTCTAGCAGTCTAGAAAAAAGTAAAACTGGATATGCAGGTCTTGAAACTGGTAAAACTGGTTCTACCAGTCCAGAAATAATCGCCAGTCGCCGTTAATAATAATAAACTTTTTCAATAGGAAGTGGGAGGCATTGACTTCAATCCAGAGCTATCAAGACGAGTCAGTCACGCTGGAAGTCTGGGGAGAGTTTCTTCTAACCCAAATACCCGACTCCGCTCTAGAAATGGCAGTAAATCTTCCACTAGTGACGCTAACTCAACTACTGACGTCGCGCCAAGTGATGACGTCACATCAACATCTGACGTCATCAATAATGAGGTCATATCTAATAGTGACGTCATTTCAGCGAATGACGTCATCTCAGGACAACCACGCGAGTCAGAAGGATCTGAAATGGCAATGTTGTGACGTATTATTAGTAAGCTGTATATATCTGTATTATATATCCTTAGTCATACTTCATCAATAAAGATAAATTCATGAAATAATGATTTCTCTGTTTAGCCTCCATAAATACCAGAATTAAAAAGCATAGGTCATAATTTCACAAACTACACAAAATTTGGAGGTCGTATTTTAAAACGGCTATCACAAAATAAATCGTTCGCCATGAAGACAAAAATTAGTCTGATTTTATTTACAATATAGTTTACATGTCATACTAATTCAAATTAATTCAATGTTCCACTAATTACAAATGTTTCTGTCCAGATCAAATGTTTCTTTCGACACAAGATATATTAAATGAAGAATATTTACACGATAATGTATTATACAGGATTATATCGAAAATAAAATTATTACAGTAATATTTCTTTAAACATAAGTATGATATTTTACGTAGACGCTAAAGTGTCATATAGCATGCAATATAATTTTACTATCTGTCTCAAGTTATCAACGAATAATCCGTTGTGGATATGAACTTGCCATACAGTTTATCAAAAGAAAACACTTCTCAAGGTTTTGAACAAAGACTTTTTCGTAGCAATGCGGCTCTGGTTTAAAATACTAAATCCACGAGCATTCGACTGCTAGTCTGCAGTCTTCAATGGGCAGGTTTCCCTACAAACTGGCACTCAAAAGCTCGTAGATCAGACAAATATTTTAAACTCAATATGAATAATTCTGGTTTGGCTTCAAACATCTTTAAACATACCATAATCCTTTGCATGGTGTGGTAGCTTTATTATAAAATGTTTGTTTTGTCGTTAAACTGAAAGTGACGTTTTACTTTTAAAGTGTTATTAATTCTGATGGTTTGCGCACAATAAAGCCGGTTTTCCACTAACGAATTTTATCGCGCGAAGCGACCTTTTTCCTTTGTCGCTATCACTTATTACGTCAGCAAGACGTGGCAAAATGGATGCCGACAAAGGAAAAAGATCGCTTGGCTCGAAAAAATTCGCTAGTGGAAAACCGGCTTAAGGGTAGTGTTTTGATTGGCGTCACGAGCATAAACATGAGGATATATCACCAATGATGTTAATCAAGTGGAGGTCATTGGTTATAATATCATGTCGTGTAGATACTATAAATATGCAAATGAAACGGAATAAATAACATTGACGGAGACTTGACCATAAAACAACCATCACAGACGTCGTAGGACGAACGTTTTCGTGTTTTCAAGATGAAATTACAATGTAGCTCGATATAAGTTAGCGCTTGCAAAACTCGTACATTCCAGTCATACAACACAAATATTGTAACGATTTTGGTGTTTTTCATCGTTTTTTGCAAGAAAAAGCATTGCTTCAGCAACAGATTTAACACTTTCTTGCGAAGCAAATATGACGCTCAGTAAAAATTATTCGGTTTCTTGACTTCATCCTGGTAAGCGGGCTGGCGTGTTCATATGGAACGTTTTTTCATCCCGCCTACCTATGGTCTCGGCTTCTCGTATGACGCCATGTAAATTTTTATAATAAAATTACTCGGAGGGGATATGATGCAGGCGAGACGTTTCGCGGGGTCATGTAAACAGGTCTAAGATTATCAGGATATTTTGTAGTTACGTTCACTTTTCAGTCAATGTTATTTATTTCCTTTTCTGTGCGTGTTTGGTATCAGACTTCCTACATGTTTATCCGCACGGGGCAAAGTGTTATTTATGCTAGAGGCGAATAAATAGTTTATAGAAAACTTTTCAGTTGCGAGGTTTCACTTGCGAAAGATCTTTTTTCTTTCATTCCTGGCAGTTCTTTCCACTGATCATCTCCCATTGTGAAACTTTCCACTGAGTTGAGATGTCCCTCTTCCTTATTCTGTCCTCCCAATACAACAATGACGTCATGCATGATGACAGCTGAGGCACCACGCCTCTTGTGTTTCAGTGAAGGTAATCTTTCACATCGCCCAGTCTCAATGTGATACATGATGATGTCATTTAAAACCTGGCCATTCTTACCCATCCCGCCGACAACAATGATCATATTGCCCCAAGTAACTGTGGACATTCCTACGACAGGCTTTGGTAACGATGGACATGGCTTAATCGTGTTCTTGATGAAATCATACACAACAACACTGTCTGTGGTATCTTTACTAAGGCCTGTTGTCGATCCTCCCAAGATAAATAGCTTCCCATTAACAATCTCCGCTCCATGGTTTCTCGTTGGCTGAGACATTCTTGCGAGAAGCTTGACAGTATAAGGCGGGGCAAGGGATAGTTCATAAATTGCATCGGATGTTTTCTTTTCATTCCAGTTATGTCCTCCTATGATGTAGAATCTATTTTGGTAAACTGTGACATCATAGCCAGATAACTTGACGGGCAGTTTACCATCAAATATCGTCCATCGCAAAGGATGCTGGTTCATCTTTAAAATCTCGATCAAGTCAGTACCAGTTTTACCATTGTGACCTCCGGCAACGATGACGTCACCGTTGTAAACACATGATGCTGATTCTGCTCGAGCGAGATTCATCGGTGGCAGCTGAGTTGACGTTCCTTCTGCTATGTTGAATTTCTCAACTGTATTTAATATATTTCCATCTCCTGAGTCACACCGACCGCCAAGAATAATAATATCTTGGTTGTTGGTTGGAGCTGCTGGACCAATAGCTTGAGCACCATTGTTGTTTACATTTTTTCCTTGCAACAACTGATTTAACATCTCTGTCATTCTTTGAAACTGCTGGCTTACCTCAGCTTTGAACATCACTTGATCTGCTTTCATTTCTGCTTGAGTTTGCTTTATCTCGTCAACATTCGCCTGGATTGTAAAATTAAAAATTTCTCTGACTATGTTGTTACATTAAAATATATCAGCGATAACACAGTGTACATTTTGAGAAGCTGGGCGGCATAAATAGTTTATTTACTTGGCAAAGTATTCAATATGTTGGGCTGATTCCTCAGAAGTTTGCGTTAAACAATATTTTGATTGATAAACACTCACGCTTAGGAAAAAGAGTTTTGCAAATGAAATAGTGGCATTTCTATCGCACTGGAAACTTACACAAAACTAAACATAATCTTGTCTTACCTTCATTTGATTTACTTTGTCATTGATTTCATCCTGCTTTCTTTCTATTTCCACTTTTGTTGTGCTCACTTCCACCTTTATCTCGTCAACATGTTCCTGAATTGTAAAATATAAACTTCACTGACTTGCCACTATGCATTTTCACAAACTGTAGATTTTCACAAACTTTTCAAAATTGATTGCATTGCACACATACAAAGAACAAAAACTTGTCTAACCTTAATTTCATCTTGTTTTCTTTCCATTCTAACTTGACTAGCTTTCATTTCATCAACATTTTCCTGAATTACAATTGTTATTATTTAAAAAGAGGATAACATCTTCACCAAACATGTTTGGTTAAGATATCATTGACGGTCCTCAACACACTAAAATTGTTCTAGTTAGTTACTTATTCACTTACATAAAAAATCAAAACTATTGATTATACGGCATTACATAATAACACCGAGTGATATATTTTGAGGTGGTCAACCTCATCATTTATCTCCGTCATCTCCTAAGAAATATTTTTTTCACCGAAAAATCACCGGAAACAATGTATGGTTAATTTTTTACTATTTTTTTTAAATTAAAGTGATTTGGTAGTGAGTTAAAAAGTACTGGTCCACTATATACGTTGTTTTTCATTTAGTTTTCTCAGTTATAAGTCTTGGAAGATGTATGTCAGTTGTAGTTGCTATTAACTCTCTGAATATTTGTCACTTGATTTATCTTTGCAAACATATCACATATTTCTGGAGCAGTGCCGTATTTTTTAGTGCTCGAAAAATAGAGTTTTTTACGGTAGAATATGCAGCTACTCGTAGTTGCAACAGTTATACTGATTGTGTTTTACCAGTTATCCCTGGTATTATTCATGCTGCTCTCTTTTGAAGTCTTTATACATCTTATTTAATGTTAGTGTAAAGATATTCTCAACTGTATAGTTCTACGATTACAATATGTTGCCATGCAAACCTAAACGTGGACAAAATGTTTTTACCTTTATTGCATCTTGACTTGCTTTCATTTCATCTTGACTTGCTTTAATATCTCTGCAGTCGTGGCATTTGGGGATTCTAAACTGGCAGAGTTCTCTCTCGTGGATTTCTTTATCTCTTTTATTGACCACCGTCCCACATCCTTCATTTCCACACATAACAGGCGCGAAGCCACATCGCTCAACATGATTCTGTAAATTTCCAAGCTGGACGTAGCCCGGGCAGCCTCGCTCAGTGTAATCACACTTGATGTTCAGCTCTGATAGAATATTCTTCAAAAATCTCGGTGGATCTTTGAGTGTTTCTGGAGTCAGGTGTTCTCTGCATTCAGGACATGTGTGGGAATTACGAAGATGTTGAGATATACAAGAAAGGCAAAATGGATGTTCTTTATTCTGGCAAGTTCGTGGATTTCTGAGCACCCCTTGACAAATAGAGCAGAAAAGATCTTCTCTGACTCGACCTTCAAAACGTCTGTCATCGTAACCTTGCTGATAGCTGTGTGTCATTGTTCAACGCTTAGCTGAAAAACGAAACAACTGTTGTTAAATTATGGATGTGGACTGCAGCTTTGATTCCTGCACTAGACACATTTCTGATTATTTCATTTTACCTCAAGCCTAATCCATTGTTTTATACAGCAGTAAAGCTGAATGTTAATCCAGATAAGCCAATCACATAGTGTTCATTGCTACCTACTCTGGACTGGAACTCTATGCGAAATATAGCTAAAGCACATAAAACCTCTTTTCCGGAAATATACATCATTAATTTCCAGTAATTGGAATTAATCGTTTCACTGAACAAACTACATCATGTGCATTCACATTTTGTAACTTTATTTGTTTGTTTTTTTATTTAAACTGGACCGGCGACAGTTTTCAAAATAGAAGAAAGTCGTGGATTAATAGGGATACAACTACCTGAAAAATACAAGGAGAATTTCGACGTTTCGAGCGAAGGCCTTCCGTCGGGGGTGTAGCTATAATATTATTAATATTATTATATTTATTTATTTTTTAAAATTATTTTCAATAATTAAAAAAAAATTTCTTGTCTGCGCCCGCCAGTCCGCGTCCGTCGGTCCGGGTCGGCCATTCCGCGCCCGCCTTTTATCTACACCCCTTCCGTTGCGAAGTTAGTAGTGGAGTAGCCACTAACTTCCGGTCGAAACCTTGAAGTTTTCCTTGTATTTTTCAGCCTACCCTGGCAGAGACCTTTCAAATAGATCTTTCAAACTACTTATTGTACTGCTTTAATGCAAAAATTGCTGGCAGAGACCTTTCAAATAGATCTTTCAAACTACTTAATGTACTGCTTTATTGCAATAATTGCTGGCAGAGACCTTTCAAATAGATCTTTCAAACTACTTATTGTACTGCTTTATTGCAATAATTGTGCAAAATGATTTATTGAGCAATAGAGCTCGCATAGCGTGCAGATTTACAATAGCAATAAATATGATAATAATTTATGTGTTTTTGTGAACATAGTACATACTCGTACGGTTATACGACTATTTTGATCTTCATCTTAATTTAAGATAATTTTACTACTTGCGCAGATGAAAATCCGAGTACAGATGAAAAGCTGCCTTCTGTTGAAATAATCTCGCTGTTCCGCCTACTGAGGCGCGTCAAGTATGCTGAGCTGTTAACAGCAAGCTCTTTATAAACACACAAAAGTTGAAAATATCCTCTAGATCCATCGCTCAAAATGTGGTTTGAGCTTTCAACCTTCAACCATACAGCTTCCCCTGTCGAGCTATCGAGTCTACAGAGATTGCTGGTGAATTCTTGTGTTCTGTCTGTTTCACTATCGTGTCTACAGGGTTTAGTGGTACCGCGGTATAAATACGCAAGATTGGAATTCTCAAACATTGAGAATGTAGTCGACTGCTCTACCTATGAAGCCTGGTCCTCACTACCACGCAAGCACAAACATAACAGATGCACTGTCCTCACTAGCACGCAACATAAATAGTCTATGGTTGTCAGTCAAGACAAGACTTGAGCTATCAAGATGTCCACCCGCTTTACCTGTTGAGCTGATTTGTGAGCGAGTTAAAAGCAAAATTAGACTTACCAATGTCGAGGGATGGTGAAAGATTATTACATTTTGAAGATTCTGTAATAAATTGATGTGAACGGCGTCAACTGTATTTTTGTGTTTGAGACAACACCTTAATTTTATAATATACTCAGTCTCGGGTAGTTTAATCAGCACTTTATTGACATACGTATGTTATTTATACAAACTGTTATGAATATATTACAATGACTAATTAGGACAACTGATTAACATATATTACACAATCTTGACTATACTACATATCTTCCCCCTAAGTTTATTTATTTATTTTTTTTGTCCGTTTTCTAAACTTACGTTTCTTAAAA